AGTTTTCACCTGTACAGTTATCCGCAATGTTTGCGTGCAATATTAAGCGATACAAATTTTCCGGGGAAGCAGATGTGATTTTCGGAAATACATTATTTTAAATTTGTCGCTAGAAATGCCTCCAATTTTATTTTGAAACAAACTCTTATCTGTTACTTTGTTTTCTTGATCATCAACTGATCGAAACAACTGATCAAAACGAAGCGCGATAAACACGTTTTGTAACAATTTTTTTCTGCTTATGTAAGATAACATTGAACGTGATTTCATTTAAAAAATTATTTGGATGCACATACTCACACAAGGCATCTCACTCGTGAGTCAAGTAGAGTTTGTGTCTGAAATAAGCCGGTAAAGATGTTTCGGCGAAGCATTAGCGTAGGGATAAATTTTATTACCGTCTGAAAATCTAGATTACACTGAGGATGACCCGGAAAGAAATTGCACATCCATAGAGAAACTTTTCCTCATGAAAATACAAACTAAAAACATCCCTTTTTCATGTCCAACGGTTCTTGCTGATTACTAATTCAACATTTTTTTCAAAAGAACAAATTTACAGGTCATATTAAACAGACAGGTCACGAAAATGAAAAAGAAGAATTACCTGCGAGCAAGATGCACGCCAGTGATACCAGAGCGAAAATCCCTTTGTACATTTTTAGAACCATTTGAGGTTAAAAAGCAAAGATTTGTTGTCAAAAAGTGTTTGCTGATGTTATTATTGCAAAGTTCAACAACGATCTAGAAATATACCCTGTGGGGTTATTGTATTGCGGGAACCAATCACACTGAAAGAAGACTGTAGAGTTTTATCCCTTTCGCTGCACTCTCCACAGGGATTACCTTATTTGCTCATGATCACTTTAAGATTATGAATTCTAATTTTTGTTGACGGATTTCTCTCTGTAAACAAAATCATGAACACCTGGCCCCGGTTGTTCGAAGGTTGGATGGTGTTATACACTGGATAAAACTCAATCCGGTGGATAAAGCTACACGTTTTGCTGTCTCTTTTCCGCCTGATAGCGATTTTTCCGTTGGATAATGTTATCTACCCTTTGCCAAGTTGTTCAAAGCTAGGCTAAGATAACCTAGGGTTAGAGTTAAATCTGACCTCAGATCTAAAACCTTTAAAGGCATATTCAGTATATTTATTTTTGCCTACAATTTGATGCCTGGATGTTCTAAAAAAGAATTGAAGAAATTATCTGAAATAGGTCTTTTAAGAAGGGAATAAAGTAACCCAGATTGAAAATTAACCCCGGGTTAGCGCTAATCGGCCTTTGAATAACTGGGCGCTGAACCCTGGTGAAATAAGTAAAGTAATAACTCCTGGGCCTTCCAGATTAGAAAACAGGCCTCCACGGCTTGTTACGTAGCACGTGATCGGCTGTCACGCACATTGTTTCCGCGGACGACGATGGCTGCCATAGTTGAGGTATGTTTTGAAGTCAATAGTTCGTTTTATTTTCGTTAAAAAACCATTTAGCGGTACTTTACAATACTTCTGCGACACGTAGCTCTGTGAATCAGTACAGTAAACCTTGATTTTGCGATGGCTGTCAGTGTCTGAGAACAAGAGTGGATTATCTAATCTTTGTGATTACATTATGTCACTTCTGCATCGCCAACCCGTTAAGAAAGAACTTTCCAACTGTTGCAGCCATTGTCCCCTCGTCCACGGAAACAACGTGCGTGACAGTCAATCACCTGCTACCTAACAAGTTTCCCATTTATCGCCCGATAATTTATCATTTATCGCGCGATAATTTTTCATTTATAGTGCGATAGTTTATCGTTTATCGCGCGATAGTTTAACATTCATCGCGCGATAATTTCCATTTATGATTAACTTCGAATGAAACGCGTGCTATCATTGATTGAAAGAGCGTGATCTATA